GCTGTAACCCTTTGTGCACTAAAGATATGAGCATGACATCTGGCATCACTTCACCTGGGTTCAAATCCCAGCTCTGCCATTTTCTAGATGTGTATAGATGGTAAAGTTTCTTAGCCTCTACTGTAGTTTATTTTCCTCATCTTGAAAATGAGGTAATTATCATATCTATCTGTCTCTCAGAGTTTCATGAGAATTCAATGTACAGTGCTTAGCACAGTGCCTGGCGTGGTAAACTCTATCCAATCAACCTGTGGTGATTATGCAGGCTGTCAGTGTGAGGGTGACCATCAGCCTTAGGCTTTTTTGGAGTAAGGACTGTGCTTTACTCACCTTCGGATTCCCTGAAATAGGGCTGGGTCATCGCCTTGCATGTAACAGAGCATCCACTGGGTCCCAAAAACTATGGGAGAAATTTAGACACCTGACAACATCCTTGGTCAACCTTAAATTCAACTGAGTTTGTAGGAAAGAACACACAGGGAAGAGGAATCTGTACATGTATCTTCAGCACTGCCAGATCCGAAGTGCCTCTTCACTGTGTGTCGGCGATAATTTCTCTAGATGCTGCACTGGACCATGCTTCCTCTGAACTCTGCAGGGACTCCTTCCTTGCCTCTTCCTAGTGTCTAGTGGTTGCTGATGGACCTTAGCACTCCTTGGCTTGCAGCCGCATCACTCCAATCTCTGCCTTTATCATCATATGGCATTCTCCCTGTGTCTTACATCGTTCGACTGTTTCCCCACCCAGATCTCATCTTGAATTGTAGCTCCCATAATTATCATATGTCATGGGAGGGCCTGGGTGGGAAGTAATTGAATCATGTGGGCAGGTTTTTCCTGAATCATGTTGTTTGTGATAGTGAGTAAGTCTCACAAGATCTGTTGGTTTTATAAAGGGCAGTTCCTCTGCACACACTCTTGCCTGCCACCATGTAAGACGTGTCTTTGCTCCTTCACCCTCCTTCATGATTGTGAGGTCTCCCCAGCCATGTGGAACTATAAGTCCATTAAACCTCTTTAAAAATTACCCAGTCTTTATTAGCAGCATGAGAACAGACTAATACAGTGCCCTTGTCTTCATGTGAACATCTTCTTATAAGGATGCCAGTTCATATCGGATAAGGGCCCACCCTACTCCAGTCTAACCTCATCTGAACTACAAATAACCTGCCAGACTGTATTTCCACATGCGGCCACATTCAGACGTTCCAGAGATTAGGGCACCAACATGGCTTTTTTGGTGAAGACACAATTCAACTTCTAACAAATGTCTAACTCATTACTAGTCCCTACTATGCCATGGCCCATAGTAGGTGGCGTTTAAGGGTGCAATTTATTTTGGTCTCTAAATATATGTGATTTCGCCTAATAATAGAAGGAACAACTGAAAAAACCTGACTCCCAGGCCCAGACAAAGCTCCCATCATCCTCACACTCATCCCAAGAAGGGCCCATGCTGCTGTCTCTAAGTCATCGGGGACACAACCTGGCAAGCATCATCTTGACTGTTAAAAACTACCAAATGTGAAGTTTGGTGATTTTTAAACTTTCAAGAGGCTAAATGCATGTGTGTGGTTTTGATCAGGAAGTTGTGGGTTTATGCCTAATCAAGAAACTTTCAACATTAAAAATTTAGAATCAGTGAGCACTGAAAAATCTATAGGCTGAGGTATGCAGGCTCACTCTGTCTCCTCTCCTGCACCCCCAGGCCACTCTGCCCCACGGAGACTCCCAAAGGCAGAAATATCCTCATCTTGTTCCCAGAACCCAGGCAGACTCTCCGGGTCACCTTTTTGAGCCTTACACCCCAGGCGGGAAGGAAAGGTTCCTATCTACAGTGAGAAAAGACTTAATCAAGGCAACTTCTGTTCCATTTCCTGTTTATAAAGCTAGTTATTCATCTCAGAAAAGTCTTAAAGACCTGGGCTGTAATCCCAGCTTTCTGATTTAAGAAGCTCTCTGACTCATTGAACCCATAAGGAGGGAGAAAAACGTCAATCCTGGAGGTGGTAGGGTTATCTGGGAAGCAGGGGGAGGAGAGTGTGCGTGTGGGAATTTGATGATCCCCAGCTAGCCTCACCAAGGTGGATGTCCTTGGCCATGCAGGAAGGGGTCAGAACCTTCACGACAGGCTTTCAAGTGTTAGCAACCAAGGATGTCCTTGGCCAGGACACTCAGGCTCTCAGTCTGGGCTCCCTCATCTGTGAAACAGAATACTCACCAGCCCCCTGCAAGGGGAGAGGGGAAGACTGAGATGATAACTGTGAAAGCCCCAGCACGGCTTCAGCACGTAGTGGGTGCTTGATGTGCGTTGGGCACATGGTGATGAAGGAGCAGAGACTTCTTGCAGGGCTCAGCTTGGTCAAGTCAGGAAATCTCCCATTTCTCTCAAGACAGGTGCTTGGCTAAGTGGGGGCTGCAAAACCCTGGGTCCCCCAATGGACAGATCCCTCCTCCCACTGACAGCTTTTCAGTACGTGGGCTCTGGATTCAGGTTTGGGGTAGGAAGCAGAATCAAGGGAGGCTGATCAGAAGTCAAAGTGCTGCAGCTGGGCCTGGGCTCCCCCAACAGGGCTGCAGGGCCACTGGGAAGAGGAGTCAGCACACACACAGCCCACACTCTAGGGCCTCTGTCTACCTGAGAGGTGGAGATCATGGCCTGGCTTAGCAGATGAGGAAACAAATGCTCCAGGAAGTTGGAAAGCCCTTCAGCCTGTGGCAGGGGAAGGCTCTGCCCCAGCTTTGCCAGATGCTCTGCTCCCTGCACCTCCCACACTGTCTCAGCCCCTGTCCTGGGACCTCTGCAAGGACACAAATGTGCCCAGGGCCCAGATCAGTACCTGGACGTTGCAGGAAAAATGAATGAATGATGGAGACCAGTGCCAAGGCCAGCATTGGGCCAGTGCAACAGCACCCTGGAGAGGACGGGCCCTGCTCCATGAGCTCCTCTCTTCTGAGAGGCTGGCGGCACCCAAGGAGACTTTTGGAGAACTGGCAGAGGGGAGCCTTCTGGCCAGACTCAGACTCCAGATTCTAAAATTCTGCAGGAAAAGTCAGTAGGCCCAAGATGCTGAACACCCAAGGACCATAGGCCATCAGGAGTAGGACAGCTCCTGGGGGGACCAAGGGAAGGAAGGGGAAGGGACTTCAGGTGGTATGAATCAGAGAGCGAGGCAAGGCAGGGGGCCATGGCGAGGCAAGGCTGGACCACAGGAAGATGCTAAACCTGGGAGTGGGCTTGACTCAGGGCCCCAGACAGCCTCTCAGTGACCTTCCAGCTTAATGTGTGGTCTCTTCTGCAGCCTGATTGGCAGGTGGGCAGCCCAGCCACAGTTGGGAAAAGGAAGCACAAGGGGGTGGAGATCAGGGCGGGAGGTGGGACAGGAACAGCAAGCAGAAGGCATTAAAGGGCCACAGCAGCCCAGAAGCAGCCCTACCACGGGGGCTGGGGTTAAGGTTAGAGCAGACCCTTCAGAAATGCTGACGAATGCGTGAATAAAGAAATACAGGCAAGAGGAAGGAGCAACTTCAAGAAATAACTGGCAGGAGGGAAGCGTGGGACACAGGGCCACTCCAACAGCAAAGCCGGAGACAGCGTCACAGGGAGGTGTCCATCCACCTCCATCCATCCCGCCCAAGTCTTTACAGCCCACAGCTCTGCCACGCTATTCTGCTCGGTGACGCACCATCCTCACCTCCTCTGTCCCTGCCACTGTCTTATGGTCCAGCTTCAGAGTCCACACAGCCCTCCCTCGGAGAGTCCACATGCCCCAGGCCATGGCCTTTGTGCAGAACCCTGGCATTACCACCCCCACCTCCCCATCCTCAGCGGTAGCCTATCTTGGCCCAGGTACTAATTATATCCCTCCTGGTCCCCTTCTGCTGCCCCACCCCCTCCCTGACCTCTAGCCTAGGTCCCACCCCTCTGGGCCACCACCAGTCTTCCAAGGGCAAACCCACCATCTCCACCCCTCAGTAGCCCCTTCAGAGCAAAGTCCTAGCTCTTGGGCAAGGCCTGGCTAGCCCTTCACTGTCTGGGTCCTCCAGACCCATCTCTCTCCACCCTGCCCCATCTCAGTACCCCAGGGCTCAGTTCCCACATGGAACAGACTAGCTCTGGCCACCTGGCCTGAAACACATCATGCTCTAGGTCTGGGACACCTTTCTCTGTCTCCACAGCCCCTATGAGGTCACCTACTCCAGGAAGCCCTCCTTTTCTGACACTGCCTCCCTAAGGAGTGATCCAGGCTCTGGGCTTCCCTAACTAATGCTGCCCAGGCCCTTGGATTCGGGGTGCCAGGAGCACCCTGAGAAGCACACAAAGGGCCAGCCAACCTCTCACCAACTCCAGCCTCTCCCACTCCACACCACCTGGGCAGCTAATTAATACAAATTTCCTAAAAGAGCTCATGAACTTGAAATCAATTCTCCACTTTGGTTACTGCCCCTGCGGCCACAGGGGTCTCTCCCTGAGGCAGTCCGATAGAGGAGTAGGTGTGACCCCTGACCTTGCAAGGAAGAGCCTCTCACGGATTCTCCACCCTTGCCCTGCCCTGTCCTCCCCACATGGCCCCACCACCAAGGGGTCGCTCGGGCAGCTCGCACAGGGGCGGGCACCACCTCTGGGGTCTCCTGCTTTCTTACTTCATTCAAGCATGTTCACGGCCACAAATTCCGCCACCCTCTCAAAACGCCTGTCAGGTGGGTGCCAGACAGTGGCTGTCCCCTTCATGCGTGAGGACCTAGGCTCAGAGCGTGAAGCCTGCTCCAAGGTCAGACAGGGAGTCGCAGCAGACGCAGGGTCGAAGCTGTGACTCGAGGTGGCCCCCAGTTCCCTCCCACCCCACCCCACGAAACCGCGTCTGGCTGCCCTGAAATGAATGACTTCGCCGCGCTCCTCTCCGGGACAGCGGCCAAGGTGACTCTGACCGCCTCCGCGTCCCGAGTCCGAGCTGGGCAGGGGTCCCTGGGCCGGGAGAGGGAGGCCGCTCAGCGCTTACCCTCCAAGGCCGCCTTCCAGCTGGTGCTGCCCTCGTAGCCCGACCCGGATCGCCGCAGCAGCCCCTCGGGGCCACGGGCCTCTGCCTCGGCAGGCGAGCGCGGCCTGGGGGCGGCAGGGGCGGGCGCGGGCGTGGGCGCAGGGCGCGCAGCCACGGGCGGCGGCGGCCGGGCCCGCGCCGGGGGCTCCCGGGCCGGCTCCATGCGGGGCACTCCGCCGCGCCGCGCCCGCGCTCCTGCACCGGGGTGCGGGGCCCAGCCCGACGCGCACTCGGCGCTCCGCGCGCCCTGCTGGCCCCCCAGGCCGGCCTCGGGTGGGCTAGGGCCGCGGCGCTCACAGGCCCGGGCTGAGCCCGGGTCCCCGCGCTGGAGCCTCTGCTCCCTGTGCCGCCGCCGTGCGCGCCGTTCCTGCCCCACCGAGCCGCAGCCTCCGCGTACAGCCGGGCTGGGGAGGAGCGCCAGGCGGCGCGTGGGAGCCTGGATCCGTGGACCCGGGCGGGGCGGGGGCAGAGAGGGAGGAGGCGCTGAGGAGCAGGGACAGCCGGGTCCCTGACCCCGCCACCTGGCAGGAGGCCGGATGCTGCCGACCTGGGAGCACAGTCTTGGAGCCGGGAGACTGAGCTCTAACTCAGCTCCACCTCCCCAGCCTCCTGCTCATCCTCTCGTGAAAATGGGAATCAAGTTCACGGGGACAGTGCAGGGAACCTCAGGGCGGATGAGCGCCTGTCCTCCCGGCTGCCCTGGAGCCAGAGCAGAGAGTGGTTGGGGCCGTGACTAGACCCCCAAACTCTTGATAAAGGAGAGAAACGTCCGGACGATGAGCACAGAGAGAGTAGAGTCTAAAGGAGCGAGCGAAGCAGCGTTGCAGAGTCAGTTAACATTTAATAAGCACCTGCTAGGCGCCAGGGACTTTCACATATACTAGCTGACAATGTCCCCAGGTGAGGTTGAGAAGGGGAATTTTTATGAGGTCAAGGACATTTCTGAAGGCAGTGCCAGGCTGCTGCGTGCTTGGCTGGTGTCTGACCCCCTGGCCAGGGCTTCCTTCGGGGCCTCGCTAGCCCCTTGCCTCAGCTGACCTCGCGTGGCCTGACACCCCACGCCTCCAGCCCTGATCCTCTTTCCCCCCACCCACCATTCTCAGTCCCACCTCTGGTTCCCGTCTCAGTCTACAGTTCCTCATCCCCAGCTCCTCCTGCTCCCTCCCAAATAGAATGGACCACCGACTGGTGAATTCTCCCTTTTAAACTATTTTTATTTTTATTTTTTGAGACAGGGTCTTGCTCTTGCTCGAGTGCAGTGTGAAATCACAGCTTACTGGAACCTCAGCCTCCCAGGCTCAAGTGATTCTCCTGCCTGAGCCTCCCAAAGTGCTAGAGTTATAGGTGCGAGCTGCAGTGCCCAGCCCCTTTTATTTCCTTTTTATTTATTTATTTAGAGATGGAGTCTCGCTCTGTTGCCCAGGCTGCAGTGCAATGGCACAATCTTGGCTCACTGCAACCTCCACCTCTCAGGTTCAAGCGATTCTCCTGCCTCAGCCTCTTGAGTACCTGGGATTACAAGCAGCCACCACCAAGCCTGGCTAATTTTTGTATTTTTAATGGAGATGGGGTTTCACCATGTTGGTCAGGGTGGTCTCGAACTCCTGCCTGCTTCAGCCTCTCATAGTGCTGGGATTATAGGCGTGAGCCAACATGCCCAGCCCCTGCCCCTTTTAAACGGTTAGTCTGCCCGTTACTCTCCATCCCTCTAGCCACTGGCCACCCAACAACATCAGCAGCTTTCTAAAGTTCTCTGGCCTCCACTCTTGCTCCCTCCTATGCAGCCCCTCCCTCTCAGCACCAGCAGCATCTCCCTAAAGTGCAAACTCACTGCTCCTTTAGGGACATCTTTACCTGTGGGTTAAGGCCATCCTTTTACAAGGCCTCCAGGTTCCTCGTGGTCAAAGTCCTGCTCCTAAGGCTTCCTCTCCTTCCACCCTTTCTCTGCCAGCCCTAGACACATCCAACTATTCTGACTCTTCCCTCTGCCTGGAACACATCTCCTCCTCAGTCCTTCTAACCCCTCTAGCCCCCGTGCACCCTAGTTTGCCTACAAAATTTCTGCTAATGCTTCCGATTGCATAATCTCTAGGATACTGCATTCATTCGGACTATAACAGAAAACCCCAGTAAAAGTTAAACTAAAAAGAAGTTGTTTTTTCACATGAAAGAAGTCTAGAAGTGATCAGCCCAGGGCTGGACTGAGAGCTCTAAGATCATCAGGGACCCCAGCTCTTTCCCTCTTTCTGCTCACCATCCTTAGGATGTAGCCTACGTCTTCAGGATTCCCTCATGGTCACACTATGGCCACTGTGGTTCCAGACATCACACCTGCACACCAGATTGCAGAAAGTAGGAAGAACCAATGGGAAAGGGGCATGCCTCTTGTTGAATCAGACTTCTTTAAAGAGCTTTTCTGGGCTGGGCACAGTGGCTCACACCTATAATCCCAGCACTTTGGGAGGCTGAGGTGGGCGGATCACCTGAGGTGGGGAGTTCAAGACCAGCCTGACCAACATGGAGAATCCCCATCTCAACTAAAACTACAGAATTGGCCCGGCGCAGTGGCTCACGCCTGTGATTCCAGCACTTTAGGATGCCAAGGCAGGTAGATAACAAGGTCAAGAGGTTGCGACCAGCCTGGCCAACATGGTGAAACCCTGTCTCTACTAAAAATACAAAACTTAGCCAGGCATGGTTGCTGGCACCTGTAATTCCAGCTACTTGGGAGGCTGAAGCAGGAGACTCACTTGAACCCGGAAGGCGGAGGTTGCAGTGAGCCAAGATCTTGCCACTACACTCTGGTATGGGTAACAAAGCATAACTCTACCTAAAAAAAAATTAAAAAAAAAAAAAAAATTCAAAATTAGCCAGGCATGTTGGCACATGCCTGCAATCTCAGCAGCTACTCCGGAGGTTGAGGCAGGAGAATTGCTTGAACCCAAGAGTCAGAGGTTGTGATGAGCCGAGATTGCACCATTGCACTCCAGCCTGGGCAACAATAGCGAAACTCCACTTAAAAAAAAAAAAAAAAAGCTTTTCTGGAAGCCCCAGTGATTTCCATTTGCCTTTCACTGGCCACTTCTATCTGCAAGAAAGTCTGTGACATATAGTGGCAATTAGCTAAAGCCATTGCCACACTCGATGCAGAGAATGGATATGTGCATGACCAGCAATCCCTGCCTCCTAAGCCTCCTGTAACCCCAGACTGTGGCACCTGTCCTTGGGCTCTCAGAATACTCCACCTCTCTTTTCCTAGCACCTGCCACATCCTACTGTCATTGTTTGATCCCCAACCAGATGGCCAGCTGTGGGGGGAGAGAAGAGACACTGCTGTATCCCCTGTTCCTAGGGCAATGCCCCATTGGAACACCAGGCCCAAAGCTTCAGACTTCATCACGTAGGCACAAGGAGGTGCCAGAGATGTTTGAGCAGGGAAAGGTCATGATCACAACATGCTTTAGGAAAATTAATTTTGGTACCAGGTACAAAGCAGTTGTACAGATCAGCAAGGAAACTCTTGCAATAAACAGTTGCGATAAAAAGGAGTGACGAAGGTGTTATACAACGCATTGGCAGTGGAGATGACCTTAGGAGCCTTCCGACAGTCAATCACCATACTTCAGGGCCTATCAGAAGTAGGATCTAAGCCTCCCAGAGTCCCCCCACGCCCTTGTCAGTTTCCCTGCTCCCCTCCCAATGCTTCCTAGGATCACTTTCCAGATAACTTACTTGCACTTAAATCCTTGTGTCAGGGTCTGTTTTGGGGGGAAACCAAAAGACAGTGACCCTTAGGGCTGTCTAAATTAGGTATCTCTGAAAGGGTCCGCTTCCTCAAGAAAGAGGTGCTCACAAAAATGGACACCACAATTGAGATAAAATACATCCAGACTCCCTGCCCTCCATCCATGAGTGACCACAGAGTTTCTAAGATGGCCCTCCTTGGGGACCTTTGGTGACTAAGGCTGCACCAGCTGTACTCCCAGGAGCAAGCAGGTGATGCTTGCTCTCGGGACCCAGTTTTGTCCCACGAGGGTGTAGCAAGTAGTAAACCCTCCGCTTTCAAACTCAGATTCACAGACTTACAGTGGACATCTACAATTCCCCAGGGAACCTGAGCATGTGAACCTGTGTCACATACTGTCAAGGATGTCCAATGGGAAACAATCAGATTTAGAGTGAGCTGAAGCAGGAGTGTAAGAAGATTTCAAACCCAGCCTGGCTAGCACCAGTCTCCCCTTTGTCCTCAGGCCAGTGGGGTTTTTTCTGTTTTGGGTTTTACTTTCTTTTTTTTTTTTTTTGAGACGGGGTTTCACTCTTGTTACCCAGGCTGGAGTGCCATGGCGCGATCTCGGCTCACCGCAACCTCCGCCTCCTGGGTTCAGCCAATTCTCCTGCCTCAGCCTCCTGAGTAGCTGGGATTACAGGCATGCGCCACCACGCCCAGCTAATTTTTTTGTATTTTTAGTAGAGACGGGGTTTCACCATGTTGACCAGGATGGTCTCAATCTGTTGACCTCGTGATCCACCCGCCTCGGCCTCCCAAAGTGCTGGGATTACAGGCTTGAGCCACCGCGCCTGGCCGGGTTTTACTTTCTAACAAAGTGCATGTCCCCATCTCTGAATGGCTCTGTCCTGTCTTCCTCCGTGTCTCGGGATATCGACTCCCCCTCCTGTGCTTAGAGTTATGGAATAGGTGTGACTCCTGGCCCACAAACTCAGAGGTTGAAGAAAGTAATGACATATTCTTTTCTTCTTTTAAGTCAACTGATTTGTAACTTTAGGTCACCATCCCATTACAGGGGTAGAAAATTCCATCGGACTGGGCACAGTGGCTCATATCTGTAATCCCAGCACTTTGGGAGGCTGAGGCAGGTGGATCACTTGAGCCCAGGAGTTCAATACCAGCCTGGCCAACATGGTGAAATCCCGTCTCTACTAAAAACACAAAAAATTAGCTGGGTGCAGTGGCACTCGCCTGTAATCCCAGCTACTCGGGAGGCTGAGGCAAGAGAATTGCTCGAACCTGGGAGGCTGAAGTTGCAGTGAGCTGAGATTGCACCGCTGCACTCCAGCTGGGCGACAGAGTGGGTGAGACTCTGTGTCAAAAAAAGAAAGAAAGAAAATTCCAGGCCAGGCGCGGTGGCTCACGCCTATAATCCCAGCACTTTGGGAGGCTGAGGTGGGTGGATCACGAGGTCAAGAGATCGAGACCATCCTGGTCAACAAGGTGAAACCCCGTCTCTACTAAGAATACAAAAATTAGCTGGGCATGGTGGTGCGCACCTATAGTCCCAGCTACTCGGGAGGCTGAGGCAGAATTGCTTGAACCCAGAAGGCGGAGGTTGCAGTGAGCCAAGATCGTGCCATTGCACTCCAGCCTGGGAAACAACAGCGAAACTCCATCTCAAAAAAAAAAAAAAAAAAATTCCATCAAACTGTTTTAAAAATTTTATTGAGCTAAAATCTAAACAGCACAAAATTCACCATTTTAACCATTTTAAAGCCCACAATTCAGACTTTTGTTACGCT